GACCTAAGCGCGCCCCCTACCGACCGGACGTCGCGAATCTACAAAACCCTGCGGTTTTAACCAGGTACCAAGCCTCACTGTCAACTTTGCTTGGCTCAACTATTGACGGTGATCTCGATTCGCAGTGGGTGCATATCAAAGATGCGTTAGTTTCCGCCAGTATCGACACTTGTGGAGTTACCCGTCACCCACCGAAACTTTGGATTTCGGCCGAATCCTTGTCGCTGATGGACAGACGCCGCTTGATCCTATCGGATTCCAGACACGTTGAAGAACACCAATACCTTGGTCAAGAGTTGCGCAGGAGTCTGCAAATGGACCGCGAAGCTTGGTGGTGTGAACGTGCTAGGGAGATGGAGCTTGCTAGTCTTTGTGGTAATACCAGGAAACTTTTCCATCGCATTCGAGTCACCGGTGTTCAATCTGGTATAAGTGAAACAATATGCGAAGAGGATAGCACCTTAATCACCAATCTTCAACGACGGTTGGAGCGATGGGCTGAACATTTTGGCTCGCAGTTTTGTTGGCCCCCATCTCCATCTGCTACCTCTGGCGCTCGCGCTGGGGCAGAGTGGTCTACCCCAACAGACCCTCCCTCTTCCCAGGAAAACGAGCAGGAGCTCCGGCACATGAAGCGTTATAAAGCTCCCGGCACTGATGGTCTTCACCCAGCTCTAGTTAAAGATGGTGGCGCATCGCTGGTCCTAGAACTCACCGTTTTGTTCTCGAAAATTTGGTCGAAAGAGAAGGTTCCATCATCTTGGGGTGAATCGATAGTCGTCCCCATCTTCAAAAGGGGCCTGCGCACAATCTGCTCCAACTACAGAGGAATAAGTTTAGTCCCCGTCGTTTGCAAGCTGCTGGTGTCCATCATACTTCGCAGGCTCTCCCCAACACGCGAATCGTTGCAAGGAGAAGAACAAGCTGGGTTTCGCCCTGGTCGCGGTTGCATCGATCAAATCTTCACACTTCGCCAGATCCTCGAGCTCCGCCATGTGTATCAGAGGCCAACGATTGCTGTGTTCCTGGATATCCGTGCTGCCTTCGATTCTGTCGATCGTACAGTACTGTGGCAGTGCCTTTTGAGGAACGGTGTCCCCGAGAAGTTCGTCTCCATACTGCGCGCTCTATACAGTCTGACCTTGGGCAGGGTTAGGGCTTATGGCATGCTTTCGCCTACCTTTGTGGTCTCCAGTGGAGTTCGACAAGGATGCCCTATCTCTCCGTTCCTATTCAACTTTGCCATTGAGGATGTCCTGAAGAACGCTCTGAGCGATTCGTTGAACGCTGGCGTTGAGCTCCTCCCAGGTAGTCGAGTTGTTGATTTGGATTATGCTGATGATATCGTCTTGCTGGGTGGCGATCCACAGGTCGTCCAACTTGCATTAAACCGCTTGGCGGTTGAAGCATCAAAGTACGGTATGTACCTTTTGCCATCCAAATGCATGGCTCTCCTTCAAGACTGGCAGGTGCCTCTGCCTGCACTCACGCTTGCTGGTGAGATACTAGAGATTGTGGAGAGCTTTGTCTACTTGGGAAGTTGCATCACTGCTGGCGGGGCTGTTGGAGACGAGATTTCGATGCGCATCTCGAGAGCACGCCTCGCTTTTTCTAGGCTGAGGCATTTGTGGCGTCGCCACGACATTTGTCTCTCCATCAAAGAGCGGGTCTATTGTGCAACTGTTGGTACTGTATTGTTGTACGGATGCGAGACCTGGCCCATTCGTAAAGATGACTTGCGCAGGCTATCCGTCTTCGAGCACCGCTGTCTGCGGTCCATTGCCCGTGTGTGGTGGCAGCACCACGTAAGCAATGTGGAAGTTAGACAGCGTGTCTTGGGACGTGGAAGCCACTCGCTCGAGGAGCTCATCTCACTGCATCAACTGCGGTGGTTGGGACACGTATTGCGCATGCCTGTCCAGCGTTAACCCCGTCGTGCGTTGTTTGCACTTGCTGGACAGGGCTGGAAGAGACGGTCTGGTGGACAGCCTACAACATGGAGAAGCTGCATGAAAAAGTTGACGAAACAACTGGCCTCGGCCGGTTGTTGTCGACTACCTGGTTGGGGTCCGAGAGATGAGGATACTTGCTGGTTGAAAACCTTGGAAGTTATGGCTCAAGATCGATGCCAATGGCGGACGTGTGCATCAGTGTGTTGCGGTGTCCCTTCTTCCTCCCCATAAAAAAGAACAAACTGAAAAATAATTTCAAAAATTGTGAGTGGTAAACTTGACAAAAAAACATTTCTTGTTGCTCTTTTCTTATTATTCATATTGTTTTCCTATTCAGCCATGATTCCGATGGCACAATATCTGTACCACAGATTGTGTATAATATATATATAATGCATAAAGCTTAGCCACGGCAAGGCATTTAGAGCGACGTTATCGGGAGACAATAAAACGAAGAACAACCTCAACCCACGAAAGCGCGTGATCCAAAACGTGTTAGGTGCTCCAGATTGATTTACAATTATGGATGCAGTCCCACCAGCGATAGCTGATAATGAAAGCTGAAGTTATTCAAACAACATGAAATGGGCAAGCTCAACTAATAGCATGTATGAAATCTATGCGACAAGATGATGAGGTGACTGGTTCATTACAGATCTGACGCAGCCAAGACTAAATTCCACCCCACGTCCAAATGCTGGGGTTTGTAAACACAAAATGACACAGAAGATTTCTCTGTTCCTGGAAAGATTCATGGTTCCGACAATTAGGATTGCGTATATTGTCAATAACAGGCATCTGAAAGAGATTTTCGTCCCTTCGAAATTTAATCACTGATATAGTTGATGTTTTTGTCTAGCCTTCAATGAAAAATGAGTTGTCCTATTATTATCGGTCACAATGATCGAAGCGTCATCGAAGCACACTAAGCGCGCCTTCAGTTTCAGAGAGATGGTTACAAACTACATCTTGACAAGTCATCTCATCCTGATTGACGTAGGTAAAACTCTCGGGATGTTATATCTTCCCGGCTACGTAGTTTGGCATGATGACATTTTCAAACAACTGTATAGTTTCCTCGTTCTACAGCGACACAGAATACCAGCAAACGTCCCAGAACCATGCACCAACCGACCAGATGATTTGGTGTTAAATCAGAAATAGCTCCATGTTATGGTTCGACCATCAAGCAAATGCTACACAGATAGATAATACCATTAGGAGGTCTGTGTAATTCCTCTCAGCAGAATGTAAGTCCGTATTAAATCCAAATTCGAGCCGAAGTTTCACGTAGTACACAACTCGCACGGCTAGTGTTTACTTGTCTTCCTGCTCTTCAAATATGCAAATGTTTTGCTGAACATAGTCCTCATCAATTGCTTCTTCTATCTGACTTACGCGATTCGTTGTCTGTATTTCCATCGATCTACGCACTCTAAAGTGATCCGCTTTACTTCAGCTACTTTTATCTTCGGCGATTTGGGATATCGACGATTTCGTGAACCTTGGCTGTTGAGCGCCCATCTAGCTCTATTCGTTGTCGACCTAAGACTGTACAGAATTTGGCCGTCAACGTACGTTAATTATATCTCGTAACGAGCACCGCAGTTTTTTAATAATATGTGCGATGCTATGGGTAGCTCAATGACGGCACGCTGGGCCTTGAATTAGCCCTATTATACAACCAACAGTTTAGATCATTTTATTAAGGTGCTTTTGTCGGCACGTGAATATTTTGTTCTTTGCATATAAACTTACCAGCGGTGGAAGGAACATTAGTACAACTGACTTTCCTCGCGGTCTAGGCAATAATCTCATAACAAGGCAAGTCGCTGGTTCTATCAGCCCTGTGGTGACCGGTAGACAGGTGAGTGCTGAAATATTCATGAAGGCAGGCCATAATCCTTGAATATTGCGCAAGAAAATAACACAGTCAATAGGCAGTATATGAGCAGCCCAGTGTGGTAATTCAAAATGCAAACGAAGGTTAACAGGCTAAAAATGCCGGTCTGTAGATTAATCGAACATGCTGCGCCAAGAATAACCCGCTGTTATCATGTTCATGCATAATTAAGCAACGCCGGCGGCATTTCTAAATACAGCTTGATGAAAGTGAATTTTCATTTAAACGTTCATGCAACGTAGTTGTCGTACTATTCAACCATACTGTCTAGTACCGATTGAAAGTGGGCCTACGAATAGGTTAAGTACCACTGGAGCCGCATGGTAAAACCGCCAGTGTTGTCTGTAATGCACCGTTAGTTAGAATATTTCATCGAAAGTAATGCTGCACTTAAATGACACAGTCTCTGTTCTGCCACGAAAATAATGCATAAGGAAAAATAGATACCCGTCGGAATATCGTGTGCATCCTTATTTTCTCATTAATCTTTGCCATGTTCAGACATACATTAAACGCCGTGCAATACATGAGAAGAAGTAAATCCTGGTTATGCGTTCTCGAAACCTCACGGGTGTTATGCGTGCACACATATAGTTGTACATAAAAGAGAAAGGCCTACTGTGGCAAATAGAACTAGGATAAATTGACACAGTTCGTAAATTAAGAGTTTGTACATCGTAAGGATTGAGCGTCCCGTATACCAACTACCACTGTGCATCTCGGCTGTTTGACCCGTGAAAGTGTTCCAAAGTTTCCAGCCTGTACTTCACCTGCGCATACAGCCGAATAGCCTGAAATGGATAAGATCCGAATTGAGAGAAAATATTACACGGATAAATTACCAACAGATGAAGGACTACATGACTCGAAACTGGATATTGTAGGCTTGAACCAGCAACGAAACATGTTGCAGACCCCAAGGACAAAGGAGTGCCAAATCATAAAAATCCTATATAAGTATTAGAAAAGGGGTGATCTCAATAGAAGTTCATCACATCTAGACTCAGTTAGACAGACAGCACACGCCTGGGAAAAACACTTTACAGCCGTTTAAACCTTTGATGAATCGTCAGCAGCGCGCATTCCATCTGGTCCCGGTGGTCATAGTACCCGCAACACTACTGTTAGCTGTCTTCCCATTAAAATAAGCATGCGAATCGCGACTAGTGTTTAAAAGACCAGTTTTAAACTGCGTGGCTGTGTGCAAGATATAAAACCAAGGTTACAGTCAAATTACAAGGAAAAATGCTATTTGAGCAAGGGATCGAGACATAAGTGTGCTGATTACAAAGCCATATAAAATGTACTAAGTATAGTGTATTTACTTGGCCGGGTTCTCCTGAAAAATACATTGAAAGAAGGATGAGAAGCTGGTAGTGTCTCCTTCACTATTCTTTACACGACCCAAATTCCTTCTTTACTCGGAAATGTGTACCTTACAGACGCACCAGTAATTGTGACTTGCAGTTGAATAACAAAACTAAAACTTAGATAAGCAATCATGTCCACACCATATATATATTTTCCTACTTGGCCAAGCCTACTTTACAGCCACACACAAAGGTGTGAGCGGGGAAGGAAACGCTGACTGAATCTATCCATTTATATTGAGTTTTACCATTAGCCCATGCTTCCCTTGTTGCTCTCATGTAAACTTGTCAGGCGGTAAAGTGAAGCTAACCGATTCTGCTTAGTACATCTTCATCCTTGTTTCCAATATTTCGCTTTCATTTTTCCTCTTCATCGCAAACTCCTAGCATACAGTGAAACCAAAACGCCTGAACCAGTTTACCAATGTCAACGATTTCCGCATCAAACACAAAAGATAAATTTCCCCTTCTATTTGTCTCGGCTTATTTCTAAACTTGCTGAACTGAAAACCAATAAATACTTCCGTAAACTTGAAACACACAACTTCTAGCTACGGTCAGACAGCAATCACACGCCCGGTAAGACACAGTACGGTTGTTTCATCCTTTCGGAAGTTGTCAGCAATGCGAATTCCATCTGCCCCCTGTGGGGATGGAATCAACAAATCGAATGTTGCAAGTATGTGATTAAGACCACTTCATCATCATCAATATACACGTTAGCAAGGCGTAAGAAAAACCACAGCTACTGCACCGCAATACATACAAAAAAGGGAAAGAAATGCAACCGGTGCATCCCACCTGGACTACCAGCAACGTAACGTAATCGTTCTGGAAAGCTAGCAGCCGGGTAAAAGGCAACAAATAAATTATTATGTAAAATTATATTATAATACGAACTGATATCGTGGTTAGAGCAGAAGGCAAGACGGATGGGGTGAGACAAAGAAATTCACAGCACGAACGCCACTGAGGTCGGCTCCTACCCATAACAACAAGTGTTTCCAGCCAAACGTGTTCATCGTCTATCGGACCTCAACCAAGAAGCCAAGACGATCAAACAGAGGTCAGTTAAATAGTGAGGGCGTCATTCATCTAGACCAAGTCATCCCTTGGCCAACTCTCCACTTCCTCCATTTACACCCCCGGTGAGTAAACAAAGCACTTCGCGGAAATCGGGGCTAAGTGCGTGAAAACACGGTGCTGAGCAGTTCAGTTCTTTTTCCTGTGACGTAAACAAGGCGTCGAACACGCTCGTTGCTTACTCGGTGTGCCCATCAGATGTGAGCCAAATTACGAAAGCACGGGTGCTCGAACGCAACTAGACTCTTTATGTCCGCTGATCTAAGGGGCCAGGTTTCAAAACCGTACAGTAGGGTCGAACGTACCGCTGCATTGTCCACTCTACCCTTCAGGGCAAGAGTGATGTCGACTCGGCGCTATAAGTAGCGAAAGTTAGCAAAAGCACCTCGAGCTTTTGCTATACGGTTAGTGATCTCATCTTCAATCCCACGGGCGCTGATACAACTTCCCAGGTAGTTGAATTTTTGTACGACTTCTAGATGATCCCCACCAAGGGTCAGCGAAGGAGGCGGTCCAGGACAATCTTGGAGGAACGCTTTGCACTTCGAGAGTGCGAAGCAAAGCCCGAAGCGGCTGACAGCCAGTGCTAATCTGTCCAGTGCCGCTTGGCACGTCTGGAACCTGTCACAGATGAGGGCAATATCGTCAGCATACTCCAAGTCAAGAAGTCGTCCTCCTGGGAACAGATCCAAACCTTCTAAGTCTTGTACTGTGAACGCGATTTCCGTGACTGTCAATAGCGAAGTTGACGGGGAAAGTTGAGAGCGGGTGTCCTTGTCTCACACCGTTGGCGATATTGAAAGGCGAGGATAACTGGCCGTAAGCTCTCACTCTGCCTGAGATACGCGCGTATAATGATCGGATGATATTTACATCTTTCTAAGGTACACCTTTTCTAAGTAGACGGTCCCAAAGTGCAAGTCTACCCACCGAATCGAATGCACCTTTGATATCGAGGAACACGACAACGGTGGGCCGCCAATATATGTGACGGTGCTCCAACAACTGACGCAAAGTGAAGATGTGGTCAGTGCAGTCACGACCTCGACGAAACCCGGCTTGCTCTTCACGAATATGGCTTTCAAGAGTGCCAGTCAGTCTGTGAAGGATGACAGAAGCAAGCAATTTAGAGGCGATGGAGATCAGACTGATTCCTCTATTGTTGCCGCATTCCGATCGTGAGCCTCCCTTGTAAATTGGGAGTATGACAGAGCGGCTCCAATCGGTTGGGAAAGTTTGCTGCGCCCACAGTTTCACTAGAAACTCGTCTAAATCATCCAACAGAGCAGCTCCCCCGAATGTGTAGAGGACTGGAGGCAGATCATCTGGTCCCGCGGCTTTACTTAACATCAACAGGAAGATCACACGTTTGACATCTGAGCGAGTGGTTGGATCCAAAGGAACAGCCCAGGGAGCGGAACGATCAGTGGCCGGCGAGAACTCTAGCAATTCCGACCGATTAAATTGTCTTTCAAAGTGCTCATCCCAACGCTCCAAGCGTTTTGACAAGTTGTGGATACGCTGTCCACTCTCGACACAAATTGTTTCACTAATCGCAGGTCTCCTGCTGCCCGTTTCCCATATCAAATGGAATAACTTTCGATGGCTACCAACGGCAACAGCCAGTTCCATCTCTGAAGCACGATGAGACCACCAGCATTCGCAGTCTCTCTTCAAACTAGTACGGGGTTTTGCCCAGAGCTCCTTGCGAGTTTCATTGTGTTCGCTTCCAGCCGGAATATGCCGGCGACCATCGATAAGTTCCAGAGACTGCGAAGAGACTCAATGTCCATGTTGGCGATCAGACTCACCACATGAAATTTTGCCTGCTGCTAGCAAGGACTGGTCAATAGTAGACGAGTGAGTTTCAACTACATCCAGTAAACGCTTACTCAACTCGCATGACAACCTACTCTGATTGGCATTCAGAACAGCTGGTTTTGCCAGTTGGTTGTTGTCAATGTGCTCACAGCATCCTCGTGGGTTTTTACCAAAGCCCATCGTCAGGTCTGCACACACAAGTTCATGGTTGGTGTCTACACCTGTGCTCTAAATCGAGCGAGAGTTCTGGACGCAGCCTCTTCATCGGTAAATGATAGCAATGTGATCGCTTTGCGTCCATAGCTGCTTTGAAGCTGGTGAGCGCCAAGTCACCGTCCGGCGAGTTCTGTATCGGAAATTAGTGCTCGCAAGAAATAAGCGGGCATCTTCACACAAATGAAGTAACCTATCACAGTTATCATTACGGGAGCCTACATCATGTTGGCCGCCCAGATGCAGTTCATCAGTGGACAAGTTTCGAACTTGTGCGTTCAGATCCAGGATGGATCCACGCCACCTGTAACTCATGGCTATGTTGTCAATTTGGGTCCATCGCTGGCCAGCTACAGGAGGACACCAATTGGCACTCTGGCGCCCACTATGTCTAAAAGCAGTGCTACTAAGAAACAACTGGTGCTCCGCACACAGTTGAAGCAGACGCTCACCGAAGTCAGTCCGTTCGTAGATAAGCCCACAATTACCACCCAGCTGGGCTTCTGAAGAGCTCAGACGCCCTACTTGTGCGTTCATATCCCCTGCAAGTACTATAACATCTGAACTAGTAGCACTGCGTAATAGCGCGTTCAGTTCGTGATAGAATGTGTCCTTGACAGCATTAGAACTGCACTCGGTGGGAGCATAAGCGGAAATCACAAACTAACAAACAGCGTTTTGTACAAATTCGTGAATCAACCTTAGCTGATGTCGTCAAACGGGCCACATATAAACGGCTGTTCACCGGAATCCAATCAACCAACGATGGCTCAGCCTTGGAGCTTAGAGTGATACCTACACCAGCTTGACCTGTGAGTGCTGCGTCGGCGTCTCCGGACGCGTGCAACCAATAATGAGAGGATAAGCCGGGTGCAGTAAATTCAATAACCCCGTTAGGGTCATTGATCCTAGTTTCGGACACACAACACACATCAATACCCAGTGTGTCCAAGGTGCCTGCGAGTGCAGCCTGTTGACCTGTTTATCTTAGAGTGTGTATGTTGAATGTCGCCATGGTAACGAGATAGCGTGGTCTTATAAGGGATCTTTGTCGATAGGCGTCCGATAGGTGCTGTGGGATGGTGGCTGCAGATGGTTCTACTCCAGTGACACTTCGGTTGCTGTCAATTACGCTGGGAATTATAGAAGGAAGGTTAGTAATGGGGGTCGGGATGGGAGTAAGAGAAACGGGTAGAAAAGAAAGAAGGGAGGCGCCAGCAGTAGCATGTTTTCGCTTATCCACCCTGCTGTATGCAGTGGATAAGTTGACCGTTGATAATCTGCGCGACGGCCGATGCAGGATGAAGTTTATGTTTGAAGGAAATGTCATAGTTGTATGTGGGCTGAGATACTGGCAGGGCACCCAGACCTAGACAGGAGGACGATTAGGCTCATCATCCAAAGCCTTTGGTTCAAAAGCCTGTCCCCAAAGTAGCGGGGTGGCAATGATTTAGTTTTACAGAAATGGACGCCATCCGATTTTAGACCCCCAACCTGGAGGACCAGGAGACTGAGTTTGTCTGACCTCTCACCATTGACCAACTTGGTAGGAGTAGCTCTCAAGGTGCCCGGAGGCATCACCCACTATAGCTCAGTGGGTCAATGAGGTACGCAAACCGTCGCACCAGGTTAAGATCCAGTCTCGAAACCTTTCCGAAACCAGGTTGCAAGAAGCCAGTTCTGTCAACAGAAAGACATCTCCGGCAAACCCTGATGTTAAATGCCACTTGTACCATTTCGGAGACACAGAAGTCGTCGCTCTTGGCTAAGTTGATGTCCGGGTTGCAAGGAGTGACAGGGCTGAGTTCGCTTTGCTTGACTGGATCCCAGTCAACAGTCGGCTATGTATAGTACGACAAGGAAGTTCATGTAAGTTAACTAAGTGTCAAGATGTTACGCGTGCCTTGTTTGTCCTCACCTCCTACGCACCTACAGACTTCAGCCCGGATGCAGTCAAGGATTGCTTTCACCAACAGCCCTCTGAGCTTCTGCGTTGCGCTAAAAAGCTGACATTATCATTATTGCGGAGATTTTAATGCACGAGTGGGCCGCTGCTAACAAGTGAGCACCATTTTGGTGGTCGTTTTGACTTCGGTACCTGCGGATCAGACAATGGAGACAGACTACTGACTCTGTTCTGATCAACGCAGATTTCTTTTGTGTACAAATTTTGGTCCTTCGAAAACACAGACTGCTACCTGGCGTCCACCTACTCAAACACAAGGGTGTTCACAGCTAGAGCACATAGCAGTAAGCTACAGATGGTGCGGAAGTTTAACTGACTGCCGATCGCACTGGTCAAAAGGTTTGGACCTCAATCAAGCACTGGCTCGCGCCAAAACTTGCATGCGTTTCATATGATCATCCAGACGTACGCACTACCGACCGAAGGTCGAAAATCTGGAACATCCTGCGACGTTAGCTAAGTACCATGCATCTCTGTCAACACTAGTTGCTTCATCCTATGGCAATGGTTTCAATTCGCAATGGCTGCACATCACAGACGTTTTGATTTCTGGCAGTGATCTCAGTTGTGGATTTGCTTGCCACACACCGGAAAGCTGGATCACTATTGCCTCCTTGTCGCTGATGGACGGACGCCGCTTGATCCCAACCGACACCAGCTGTAGTGATGAACGCCGATTCCTGAATCGAGCGTTGCGTCGAAGATTACAGAAGGACCGTGGGACCTGGTGGTGTGAACATGCTAGTGAGCTTGAACTGGCTAATCTCTCTATTAATACCAGAAAACTGTTCCACTTTATCTTAGTCACCAAAGGCTTCCGAATAGGAGTAAGCGAAACAATCTGTGAAGGTGATGGCCCCCTAAGCACTAATCTTCAACAACGGTTGGAGCGAGGGGCCGAACATTTTCGCTCACAGTTTTCCTGGCCGCCAACCCCATCTGTTTCCTCTGGGGCGCACATTGGTGATGAGTGGAAGATCCTAAGTGATGCACCCTCTTAGCAGGAAATTTGGCAGGAATTCTGCTTCCTAAAGCGTTATAAGACACCCGGTCCTGTTGGTCTACCTCATGCTCTATTTAAGGTTGGGGGCACTGTGCTGGTTCGAGAACTCACCGCATTGTTCTCAGAAGTCTGGGCAAATGAGGAAGTTCCATCATCCTTGAGTGAGTCAGTCGTCCGCATCTTCATAAACTGCCTGCGCACAAATTGCTTCAATTACAAGGGCATAAGTTTGGTTCCCGTTTTTTGCAATATTCTGGTGTTCATCATTCTTCGCAGGTTAGCCCCAACGGGTGAATCATTACAGCGAGGAGAAGAAGCTGGGTTCCGACTTGGTCGCGACTGCATCGATCAGAGTTTCACACTCCGCCAGATTTTCGAGCTCCGCCCTGTCTATCAAAAGCCAACGATTGTTATGTTCCTGGATATCCGTGCTGTCTTTGATTCTGTCGACAGAGCTGCATTGTGGCACTATCTGTTGCGGAGTGGTATTCTCTGGAATTACGTTTCCACTCTGCATGCTCTTTATAGTCTGACCTCGGGTAGCGTTAGGGCTTACGGCAAGCTTTCCCTTCCTTTGTTGTCACCAGTGGGGTTTGACAAGGATGAACTATCTCTCCATTGCCCTTCAACTTTGCCACTGAGGATGTTCTCAAAAATGTTCTAGAAGTCTTGCTGAACGCTGGGTTTGGGCTCCTCCCAGGTAATCGGGTGGCTGATTTTCATTACCTTGATGACATCGTCTTGGTGGGTGACGGTCCGCAGACCGTCCAACTTGCACTTAACCGCCTGGCGATTGCAGCGTCGGAGTATGGCATGCACTTTTCACCATCCAAGTGCAAAGTGCTTTTGAGGACCGGCATGCGCTCCTCCTTTCACTCACTATCGATGAGGAAACGTTAGAACTGAGACAGGTTTTTCTACCTGGGAAGCTGCATAACTGCTGGTGAGCCTGTTGGAAACGAGATTTCGATGCATATCTCAAGAGATCGTCTCGCCCTCTCCAGGCTGAGGCATTTATGGCGCCGCCATAACAACCGTCTCTCCATCAAGGGACGGATTTATAGTGCTACTGTCCGCGCTGTACTGTTGTATAGTTGCGGGAGTTGGCCTGCTTGTACCGATTACCTATGTTGACTGTCTGTCTTCGAGAACCGTTGCTGGCGGTCCATCACCCGTGTGTGGTGGCTGAACCAAATAACCAAACTTGAAGTCAGACAGCGTGTCTTGGGTGGAGACCGCCACTCCCTCGAGACGCTTGTCTCACTGCGCAAACTACGATGACTCGAACACGTACTGCGCATACCCGTTCAGAATCTTCCGCGTCATTCCTTGTTCACGGTCATTGGACAGGGTTGGAGGTGGCAGTGTGGTGGACAGCCTAAAACCTGGAGAAGTAGGATGAAAAAGCTGACGAGACAGTTGGCCACGGTTGGTTCCTCTCGACTCTCTGGTTGGGGTCCCATTGGCGGGCGTTTATCACTGCTTTTTGCGGTAATTCCCCTTCCCTCCCCTTCCCTCCCCTTCCCTCCCCAAAAAATACACCAAAAAAGTCACAAAATCCGTGAGTGGAAAAATGGACAGAAAATGGTTTGGTTTCTTCCTTCTTTTACTCTAACCCTGTTTTCCTATTCCACCATGGTTCCTATGGCACAATGTCTGTACACCGATTGTGATGTATATATATATATATATATATATATATATATATACTCGCTCGCTTTGTTCAGTATTTAACACGCATTATTCACCCGGAATACTGGGAATGACCTTGACATCTGTCCCAGTATTAACTTGGATTCTGCTCTTCAAATCATCATCCCTATTATTAACTGAGGCGATTTTGGGTTTTACCGACAAGTTTAGTCACCATTATGGCAGCTTGCAAGATTTCCTGCTTCGCGGCGGAGAAACTGTTTATTGTTCGCAATTACGGGCTCCGTTGCCAAAATACGAGTGACGAAAGCAATAACCTGGATCGTTAGGTTTCATGCAACGTGGCGATTGTCCAGAGCGGGTATGTATGTATGTAATCTCAGCAGTCTAGTAACTACACATAGAGCCAACAGAGCGGGTACCGTGTTTACGGTCTAACTTTATCGTCTTGACTTAGCGCTCAATTGGCGTTACTTGTGATGACAAAGCATTGATTGCTGACAGATTGCTAGTCATCATGGTCGTTAAAGCTGTGACAATGCTAAATCGGATGAACACTCTTGCATTCCTCGTTTGGCTCTGTTGTTCGAAACATCTTCGGCTAAGTCAACAACTTCCGCAAAGATTGCCCGTGTACCTTGCAATGGCACTGGATCCACATTTCGTAGAATCCTTGCATCCGTGGAACATGTGTCATGGTCCCCAGTGAAGTTTGCATGTGACAATCAGCTGTGTTGAACACAAAGGTCTGGGCGGTTTGGATTGATAGCCACGGCCTCAGCGTTGATATTCCTTGTCGGAGTCAAATATTGTGGCGAGCTCCTACAGAAAGACAGGACATAAGTGTTTCTAAAAGGCAATGTAGCTACGGTTAGCAAATACCCCGTTCGCAGGTTCCTATGTCCAGGATTATTAGAAGAGTTTAACTGGCAGCCATACGTAGTTACAACTTTATAGCTCTGCTTGCTTTTGTTCTTAAACATGTCGCTTGTTGTGCGACATTCTGTACCTTATTAGCCTTTCTTTTCTCAGTTTTTCACTTGGTTTGACCCCATTGATCGTCACCATTCAATTTGTCCTTACACCTACTTGGGTTTAGATGGGTATTACTTGGTTCAGTCTCGGCACGGGGGTGAAATCACGTGAAATGACTTGAACATTTTCATCCATTTTGTATTTGTTGAGTTGTCACTCCTGATTATCAACACGTTTGCAGCCTCTTTGTTACCATAACGGGGGGGACAGCAGAGAATATTCTAGGGGAATTGCCCTGTTGGCAATATCTGCTGTGGTGCTAAAAAGTGTTCAAATGAGCCGCTCAGATGAAAGAACAATCCATGCAAAATAAAAAGATTAACTCTTTACCATTGAGTAGTATGGGAAATGAATGGTTTAAGTAGAATTCCATCACATCTGGACAGGCAGACAACCATCACACGCCTGCACAACCGTAGTGCTTTTAGGGAATCGTCAGCAGTTCGCATTCCATTTTATCACTGTGGGGCTTGAACACACAACTCAACTATTACCAGGCTATGGCGGAGACCCCTAGGCTACCGGGGACGGTGATGTACGTCGTGCCTGACTTACTATGTGTGATATAGCGCCGCTCATTATCCACTGACTTGTACATTACTACGTTGCGGAGGACAAATAGCCCCCTTCCAATGTCAATAAGTAGTGAGCGGCGTTATATAACATCTAGTAACATAGTTCTGCTGGCTGTTACCATCCCCTCTAGCTCAGTGATCTCATGCTCACCAGACCTTATAAACAGCAGGTAACTCCTCATGTGGTGAGTCTGATCGCCAACATGGACATTGAGTCTCTTCGCAGTCTCTGGAACTTATCGATGGTCGCCGGCATATTCCGGCTGGAAGCGAACACAATGAAACTCGCAAGGAGCTCCGGGCAAAACCCCGTACTAGTTTGAAGAGAGACTGCGAATGCTGGTGGTCTCATCGTGCTTCAGAGATGGAAATGGCTGTTGCCGTTGGTAGCCATCGAAAGTTATTCCATTTGATATGGGAAACGGGCAGCAGGAGACCTGCGGTTAGTGAAACAATTTGTGTCGAGAGTGGACAGCGTATCCACAACTTGTCAAAACGCTTGGAGCGTTGGGATGAGCACTTTGAAAGACAATTTAATCGGTCGGAATTGCTAGAGTTCTCGCCGGCCACTGATCGTTCCGCTCCCTGGGCTGTTCCTTTGGATCCAACCACTCGCTCAGATGTCAAACGTGTGATCTTCCTGTTGATGTTAAGTAAAGCCGCGGGACCAGATGACCTGCCTCCAGTCCTCCACACATTCGGGGGAGCTGCTCTGTTGGATGATTTAGACGAGTTTCTAGTGAAACTGTGGGCGCAGCAAACTTTCCCAACCGATTGGAGCCGCTCTGTCATACTCCCAATTTACAAGGGAGGCTCACGATCAGAATGCGGCAACAATAGAGGAATCAGTCTGATCTCCATCGCCTCTAAATTGCTTGCTTCTGTCATCCTTCACAGACTGACTGGCACTCTTGAAAGCCATATTCGTGAAGAGCAAGCCGGGTTTCGTCGAGGTCGTGACTGCACTGACCACATCTTCACTTTGCGTCAGTTGTTGGAGCACCGTCACATATATTGGCGGCCCACCGTTGTCGTGTTCCTCGATATCAAAGGTGCATTCGATTCGGTGGGTAGACTTGCACTTTGGGACCGTCTACTTTGGAAAGGTGTGCCTCAGAAAGATGTAAATATCATCCGATCATTATACGCGCGTATCTCAGGCAGAGTGAGAGCTTACGGCCAGTTATCCTCGCCTTTCAATATCGCCAGCGGTGTGAGACAAGGACACCCGCTCTCAACTTTCCCCGTCAACTTCGCTATTGACAGTCACGGAAATCGCGTTCACAGTACAAGACTTAGAAGGTTTGGATCTGTTCCCAGGAGGACGACTTCTTGACTTGGAGTATGCTGACGATATTGCCCTCATCTGTGACAGGTTCCAGACGTGCCAAGCGGCACTGGACAGATTAGCACTGGCTGTCAGCCGCTTCGGGCTTTGCTTCGCACTCTCGAAGTGCAATGCGTTCCTCCAAGATTGTCCTGGACCGCCTCCTTCGCTGACCCTTGGTGGGGATCATCTAGAAGTCGTACAAAAATTCCACTACCTGGGAAGTTGTATCAGCGCCCGTGGGATTGAAGATGAGATCACTAACCGTATAGCAAAAGCTCGAGGTGCTTTTGCTAACTTTCGCTACTTATAGCGCCGAGTCGACATCACTCTTGCCCTGAAGGGTAGAGTGGACAATGCAGCGGTACGTTCG